TGGCCTGGCCGTGCTTCCAGGAACCGCCCCCCCTGCAGCTCCCATTGGCCAGGAACAGGGAACCGTGGCCAATGGGAGCTTCGGGGGAGGTACCTGGAGGAGTGACCAGGGTAACACACAAACTCCTGGGCCCCCCCAGGTCCCGGCCTCTTCCCGGAGTGGCACGGGGGCAGGGAGGGAGCCTGCCCTGCCTCTGGTGTGTGCCGGACCAGGGGGAGCCAGCGGGCTGCAGGAAATAGCCCCGCATGCAGCCCCAAGGCTGCGTGTTTGAGACCCCTGGATCAACATTTTGGGCTCTGTTGTTGCTGATCCCAGAGCCTTTTTTAAGGGCAGCTGACAATACCTTCCCAGAGCAAGGTGGGCGAGGGGAAGTGCATCCACTACTACACCCCTTTGGAAAGTGTAAAAATAGTACCATTCTACAACTACAAACCACCTCTGCTAGTTGGTGTATCTGCGGTGGGGCTCTGCCCTGTCATCTGTCAGAGACAACAGGTAGTAGTTCCTGTGCTCACTGCAATTGTGGTTGGCCTATATACAAGCCAAATGTGGAGGAGGAAGGCTCCTTGTACTCTCCCCTTTCTTTGCACACCTACACAAGGGCCAGACTCTATCTGGTCCTATACTTTTAAACTACATTACAAAGGGTTTAATTTTTCTCTCATCTATCTTCTGGCCTGCTGCCTTCCTTTGGTGCCATTTTTCCTCTTCTTGTCTTGCTTTCCCTCTGCTTCAGTTCTCTTTCGTTCTAGTCATTTTGGGACAGATGTTCAACGGTATTCAGGTGCCTAAAAATGCAGGCAGGTGCTTTTGTAAATTTCACAAGATGCCTATGTGCATCTTTAGGCACCTGAATGCCTTTGAAAATATGCCCTTTAGTATTTATCTCGTTTCGTTTCCTTTCCTGCTTCCTCAAGTCACTTTGGGTTTACCTACACTGAAAATGCTACAGCGGCACAGCTGCGCCACTCAGTGCTTCAGTGTAGATGCCACCTACACTCACAGGAGGGAAGGATTCTCCCATCAGCATAGATAATCCATCTCCCCAAGAGGTGGTAGCCAGGTCGCTGGAAGAATTTTTCTGTCAAGCTAGCACTTTCCACTCAGGACTTACATTGGCTTAACTAGGCCACTCAGGGATGTGGATTTTCCACATCCCTGGGCTATGTAGTTATGCTGACCTAATTTTCCAGTGTAGACCAGGCCTACATATCTAATCTCTACACCTTTCATTGCTTTCTCCTCCCACTTTCCTTTATTTCCCCTTCAATCCATTTCCTTTGCCACCATCTTTCTTATTCTTTTTCACTGCCCTAAGTTAGTTTTAAATAGGCTGCGCTTAATATTACAAACAGCTACGTCCTGCAGTCCTTGTTTCTGATATGTGTAAGGATACAATATCACTAACCTCTGCTAGAATGAGATGAACCAGACTATATAATTTCTCTTCATACTTTAGGTAAAAAGCTCCTTTAGCTTTCTGAGGGAAGTTGGGGTAGTAGAGGGCCTGAGTTTAATTCCTACTGATGTTGCATGTACAGTGGATAGAACAGAACTATTACGTGTGGCACCTTAGAGATTAACACATTTATCTGAGCATAAGCTTTTGTGGGCTAAAGCCCACTTTATCAGATGCATGCAGTGGAAAATACAGTAGGAAGATATATATACCGAGAACATGAAAAAATGGGGGTTGCCATACCAACTCTAATGAGACTAATCAATTAAGGTGGGCTATTATCAGCAGGAGAAAAAAAACTTTTATAGTGATAATCAGGATGTCCCATTTCAAACAGTTGACAAGAAGGTGTGAGTAACAGTAGGGGGGAAATTAGCATGGGGAAATAGTTTTTAGTTTGTGTAATGACTCATCCACTCCCAGTCTTTATTCCAGCCTAATTTAATGGTGTCCAGTTTGCAAATTAATTCCAGTTCTGCAGTTTCTCGTTGGAGTCTGTTTTTGACATTTTTTGTTGAATAATTGCAACTTTTAGGTCTGTAATTGAGTGTCCAGGGAGGCTGAAGTGTTCTCCGACTGGTTTTTGAATGTTATAATTCTTGACATCTGATTTGTGTCCATTTATTCTTTTACGTAGAGACTGTCCGGTTTGGCAAATGTACATGATGACATGTATCCCATTGGTAGATGTGCAAGTGAACAAGCCTCTGATAGTATGGCTGGTGTGATTAGGTCCTATGATGGTGTTCCTTGAATAGATATGTGGATACAGTTGGCAATGGGCTTTGTTGCAAGGATAGGTTGCTGGTTTAGTGTTTTTGTTGTGTGGTGTGTGATTGCTGTTGAGTGTCACTGAGTCCCCGGGCAATGCTCTAGAACTGCTCCCTACGAAGCCAGTCAGGACTCTGGTGAAGTCTCCTTTCTGGGAGAAGACTGTCTGCAGGGCAAAAAGCTCTCACAGCTTCCACCTTCCTCGGTCTGACCTCGGACCATTCAGCATCCTCTGCCCCTCCGTGCGCTTCCCACAGTGAGTGCGCCCAGGCGGGGTCCTGGGGAAGCCAGAGGGTCCTGCACCCCAACTTCGCAGTCAGACATGACTCTTAGCCAGCCAGTAAAACAGAGGTTTATTAGATGACAGGAACATGGTCTAAAACAGACCTTGTAGGTACAAGAGAATAGGACCCCTCAGCTGGGTCCATTTTGTGGGGCAGTGAGCCAGGCAACCACGTCTGCACTCACTCCTCGTCCCCAGCCAGCCCCAAACTGAAACTCTCTCCAGCCCTTCCTCCTCTGGGCTTTGTCCCTTTTCCAGGCCAGGAGGTCACCTGATCACTTTGTCTTCAACGCTTTAGCTATCACCTTTCAGGGAGGAAGGGCCAGGCCATCAGTTGCCAGGAAACAGGGTGTTGGCCATTCTCTGTGTCCAGACCCCTGCACACACCTGCCCTCTAGGGCTCTGCAACGATCATACACCCTTATCCCACCACCTAAATACTTAACTGCTTAGGGGAAACTGAGGCACCCCCACAATATTCAGAGAAAACAATAACAGTCCCACTTCATCACAGTGAGTATTTGGTTTAGGTTGGGGAGCTTTCTGTAAGCAAGGACTGGCCTGTCTCCCAAGATCTGTGAGAGTGCGGGATCGTCCTTCAGGATAGGTTGTAGATCCTTGACGATGCGCTGGAGACGTTTTAGCTGGGGGCTGAAGGTGACGGCTAGTGGCATTCTGTTACTTTCTTTGTTGGGCCTGTCCTGTAGTAGGTGACTTCTGGGTACTTTTCTGGCTCTGTCAATCTGTTTCTTCACTTCAACAGGTGGGTATTGTAGTTGTAAGAATGCTTGATAGAGAACTTGTAGGTGTTTCTCTGTCTGAGGGGCTGGAGCAAATGCAGTTGTATCTTAGAGCTTGGCTGTAGACAATGGATCGTGTCATGTGGTCTGGATGAAAGCTGGAGGCATGTAAGTAAGTATAGCAGTCAGTAGGTTTTCTCCAGGGAATAATGTGTGTGAATAATCCACACCCCGAACAAGGTAAATTACACCGACCTAAGCTCTGGTGTGGACGCTATGTTGGCAGGAGAGCTTCTGCCTCTCATGGAGATGGTTATTTTGCCCACGGGAGAGCTCTCTCCCATCAGCATAGAGCATCTTCACCAGACATGGCACAGTCTAGCCCTTTGAGCATGTTGTACAAACTATCTACAGAAGCAAAAAGTGTGTGACCCTCTACGTGTTAACAATCAGTCTTTGTTTGCAAATGCATTCAGCAGTCTAGGGCCTTCATAAAAATAAAATTTCAGTTCCACCAAGCTGCACTAGCAAAACCACATAAGCTATCTGCTCTATTTGTAAGAGCTCTATCCTTTGATCCCATTATAATGTGAAATGTACATAATATATAGCTATATTATCTTCTCATTCAGCTTTTCAAAACCAAGGAGTTCTACAGAATAACATCACAGTTGTGAAACAGATATGTGGAATTAATAGAATCAGATAAGGAATAAAGGATTATTTGTCTGAAATAAACCAAATATGGCAATAATCTCTGAAGGTGCAGTTACATAGCAACTGTATCCTACAGTGACATAGTATTAGTTTTTGAAGTGCAAAAGCTTTAGACTAATATACTGAAATGAGCAGAATAAATGAGCGGAGACTGCTTAGCCCCAAGTCATCTAGCCCTGACCCCTACCTGTAGTGTTGGTAGACAGTGCAGCTATTTAGAAAGAAAAGCAGGCAACAGCAAAGTACAACAGGGAGTAGAATTTTCTAGAGGATTTCAATTCCAAATGTGATTGCAGGGTGGAGGGGAGGGGATATTTAAGGGTTTTGCTGCAAAATATGTTTTACAATCTGAAATCGTTTAAATGACAAAAGAAACGTGATACTCTCATTTTCCCAGTTCCCCCACTTCCACCCTCCCAAATTCCTTCTGCCTTAAACTGTGCCAAGAGTTTTCACCTTTCGGTCCCAAAGCTATTCACAGAGAAGGACATGCCTCATTATTCCCATTTTACTCTTGGGGAATCTGAGGAACATAGCCTTGCTCAGTCACACAGCAGAGCAGTGGCCCAGCTGAGAGTCCCACTCCAGCTCTAGTCCTCGGACCACCAGCTGCCTGAATCAACTCTAGCTGCAGCCACGGTGACTGAGGTTAAGAGGCGGGGTGGTAAGGCCAATAGCACCATTAATCCACTGCTACTGCCGTGCCACAGAAGCTACATGGGGCTGGAGGGGAGGATACCGCCCAGATCTGAACCAAGCCTGGGGCTCTTTACTCCAGCCCAGGGAACCCGCCCGGTTGAGGCACGTGCTGTAGCTCGAGGCCCCCAGTCAGAGCAGCTACGTGACAGGCGCGCAGGGCGGGGCGCTCTCGCCCCCTCCCGTCTGCCTTGCTCTGCCCGTCTGTCTCCGCGCGCCCGCCCCTACTGCTCTTGCTCACTCCCCATTGGCGGGCGCGCTAGCCTGGGGACAGCGGGGGCGGAGTTAGGGGGCGGCCCGCGAGCGCTTGCCGGTTGCTGGCCCAACGGCGCCTGCCGCGGGGGCCGGTCCCTGCAGCTCGCCGCGCCGCCTCCAGCCCGGCCCCGGCCGCTCGCGGCCCAATGAGCGCGACCAGACCGGAGCCGCCCCTCCGGCGGTGGCGTGAGGAGCGGCGAGGCCCCGGCGCGCTGCGGGTCGCCTCCAGTGGGTGCTGGGCCGGCAGCGCGATGGTGCCGGGGGCCGAGGGCAGCGGCTCCGCGGGCTGCTTCCCCTTCCCTCCTCCTTCCCGCTAACGGGCGCCTGAGAGCCGGGACCCGCCCTGCGCGCGCGGGGCCGAGCCGGTAAGAGGGGAGCCGTCGCGGGGTCTGTCTCGGCCGAGCAAGGGCGGAGAGGTCGGTCTGTCGGGGCAGAGCCCAGGGAGGCCCCTGTCAGCGGCAGGCGGGGGCTGGCTGAGGCAGCGGGGGCTGTAACCCAGGCAGCCGGCTAGAGGCCCGGCGTGGCGCGGGGAGACCCAGACCCCTGTTCCGGAGCAGGTGCCTGGCTCGCCCCTCTCAGGCGAGCGAGAGGCTGTTTCCCGGCTTCGCTTCTCGGCGCCTGTGCGAGGAGAGCGGGGGAAGAGACTCCCCTAGAGGCAGGCAGAGTCCCCTGCCGCAGGCCCAGGCCGGATCACTCCTGGCCGGGAGTCCCAGCCCTTCGTAGTGATCAGGGTCAGTGAAACAGCCGTAGGCATTTATGGGGAGGTGAATTTATTGCCAAGAGAAGGGTGCCAGATTTTGGCCGGTGGAAGAGAAGTTTCTGCTAAGATTTTTCTTCTAAAAATGGGATAATGTTGTTGGTGGTAATAGGCTTTTTATTTCCATAGTTTTAGGTTTTGAAAGCAGCTTTAAAATAAATGTCTCTCAAAATTACTTAATTCTGATTCTTTGTATTTATACCAGCTACAAATGTATTTTTGTTCAGGTACCTACCTTTCCTTAGAAAGAAAATTTATCAGACTATTTTTAAGTAAAATTTTCTTCATTATCAGCTGAAACTCATTGACTCACACTAATGAGACCCATTGAAGATGAACAAATTTTGTGAGTTAATGAGTCGGGCCCTACCAAATTCATGGTCCATTTTGGTCAATTTCAGAGTCACAGGATTTTCAAAATTATAAATTTCATGATTTCAGCTATTTAAACTTGAAATTTAATGAAAAAAAGAAAAGGAGTACTTGTGGCACCTTAGAGACTAATAAATTTATTTGAGCATAAGCTTTCGTGAGCTACAGCTCACTTCATTGGATGCATTCAGTGGAAATTTAATGGTGTTGTAATTGTAGGGATCCTAACCCAAAAAGGACTTAAGGTTGTTGCAAAGTTATTGTAGGGGGGGGTTGTAATGCTGCTACCCTTACTTCTGCGCTGCTCCTGGCAGCAACGCTTTCTTCAGAGCTGTTCAGCTGGAGAGCGGTGGCTGCTGGCTGGGAGCCCAGCTCTGTAGGCAGCGTTGCCACCAGCAGCAGTGCAGAAGTGAGGATGGCATGATTTGGTGTTGGCACCCTTAATTCTGTGCAGCTGCCTGCAGAGCTGGGCCATCAGTGAGCAGCCACTGCTCTCTGGGCGCCCAGTTCCGAAGGCGGCAGCACAGAAGTAAGAGTGACGTGGTATGGTATTACTATCCTTACTTCCACACTGTTGCTGGCAGGGTGCTCCCTTCAGAGCTGGGTGACTGGCCAACAGCTGCCACTCTCCGGCTGCCCAGCTCTCAAGGCAGTGCAGAAGTAAGGGTAGCAATACTGCAACCCCCCTAAAATAACCTTGTGACGCACCCCCTCAACTCCCTTTTGGGTCAGGACCCCCAATTTGAGAAACACTGGTCTCCCCCATGAAATCTGTATCGTATAGGGGGAAAGTACACAAAACACCAGATTTCACAGTCCATGATGCATTTTTCATGGCCGTGAATTTGGTAGGGCCCTATTAATGAGTGAACACACATGGTGGAATTGTTTGTTTTGATGTGTAGTTTTTAATTTAATGTATTATACTTCTACGTGTACAGTACTGTAGCTTCTTAACTACATTTTATCAAATCTTTATTTAAAAATGAGACCATTCTGTTTGTCATTGCTTTGGTGTTAGCGGCATGGCAGTATTGATCAATTTCGTTCTGAAGTATGCAATTCTGACTGAGTATTTATCTTAGGGTTTTTTTATTTTTATTTTTATTATTAATAAACTACACTACAAGAGGTAGAATTAACCCTAGAGAGAACCTAGTTGTGTATGTAATGTGTTTCCATTTAATTAAATGGACAATCTTTTAACTATCAGGGGTAGCCATGTTAGTCTGTATCCGTAAAAACAACAAGGAGTCTGCTGGCACCTTAAAGACTAACAGATTTATTTGAGCATAAGCTTTCGTGAGTATAAACCTCACTTCTTCAGATGCATGGAGTGAAAGTTACAGATGCAGACATAAATATACTGACACATGAAGAGAAGGGGGTTACCTCACAAGTGGAGAACCAGAGTTGACAGGGCCAATTCGATCAGGGTGGATGTAGTCCACTCCCAACAACAGATGACGAGGTGTCAATTCCAGGAGCGGCAAAGTTGCTTCTATAATAAGCCAGCCACTCCCAGTCCCTATTCAAGCTCAAATTAATGGTGTTAAATTTGCAAATGAATTTTAGTTCTTCTGTTTCTCTTTGAAGTCTGTTTCTGAAGGTTTTTTGTTCAAGTATAGCTACTTTCAAATCTGTTATAGAATGTCCAGGAAAATTGAAGTGTTCTCCCACTGGCTTTTATGTGTTACCATTCATGATGTCTGATTTATGTCCATTTATTCTTTTACGTAGGGACTGTCCGGTTTGGCCAATGTACATGGCAGAGGGGCATTGCTGGCACATGATGGCATATATAACATTAGTGACATGCAGGTGAATGAGCCTCTGATGGTGTGGCTGATGTGGTTGGGTCCTCTGATGGTGTCGCTAGGGTAGATATGGAGACAGAGTAGGCAATGAGGTTTGCTACAGGGATTGGTTCCTGGGTTAGTGTTTCTGTGGTGTGGTGTGTAGTTGCTGGTGAGTATTTGCTTCAGGTTGGGGGGCTGTCTGTAAGCAAGGAAACGGAAACAGACTTCAAAGAGAAACAGCAGAACTAAACTTCATTTGCAAATTTAACACCATTAATTTGGGCTTGAATAAGGACTGGGAGTGGCTGGCTCATTACAGAAGCAGCTTTGCCTCTCCTAGAATTGACACCTCATCATCTGTTGTTGGGAGTGGACTACATTCACCCTGATCGAATTGGCCCTGTCAACACTGGTCTTCCACTTGTGAGGTAACTCCCTTCTCTTCATGTGTCAGTATATTTATGTCTGCATCTGTAACTTTCACTCCATGCATCTGAAGAAGTGAGGTTTATACCCACGAAAGCTTATGCTCAAATAAATCTGTTAGTCTTTAAGGTGCCACCGGACTCCTTAATCTTTTAACTGTTGCTAGTAACACTTTAATTTTATTTTTTATAAATGTAAGTAAAAATAAAATATCTCTACACATTTATAAAATATCTAGGAACCTCAGTGGTTTGAGCATTGGCTTGCTAAACCCAGGGTTGTGAGTTCAATCCTTGAGGGGGCCATTTGGGATCTGGGGCAAAAATTGGGGATTGGTCCTGCTTTGAGCAGGGGGTTGGACTAGATGACCTCCTGAGGTCCCTTCCAACCCGGATATTCTATGATTCGATGCCATAAATTAAAAATACACAAAATAATACAAAGGAAATAGCCACAAGCATAAATAACCATTTTAAAAATCCAGATTACTTGTGACTTTTTATATTCTTCATTTAGTTTTTATATTTCTTTCAGTTCAGAGAAAGGAAGTCAGTTAATTACCTTGTACTTTGCTTGCAGGCCTCAGTCATGTTTTGCGTGGACAGACTCTAAAACCTTCACGGAGTTCTATTGACCGGGATATGGCTGTGTAGAACAGGTTGCAGGGTGGCAGCCATACTGCGTATCACCATAGCGCTGAGTTTGGGTTTCAAACAAGGCAGGAGAATGCTTCTGTTATTTTTAAAAATATTTTTCCACAGTTTGAATAAATTCTGTAAATTTGTATGGATTGGGGTTTTTATAAAAGCTCGTCTTTACACAACTTAAATTTTGGACCAAATTTAAGGTGACAGTCTTCCTTTAAACCGTGACAACACTTTAAAACACTAAGGAGGCAGTCAGTCCCATTGACTTGAATGGGACTTCTCGCATGAGTAAAATTACATATGTGTAAGTGTTTGCAGGAATGTTCCTAAAGTTGTAATGAGGTACAAAATTGAATATGGCCCTAGGCCACTGTAGTTTATCAACCCTTTAATTTGTATCTGATTTAAAGAAGAACAAGAAGTAAGGTAGCACTATAGGTGCAAACTGGAGACTTTTGCTACTCCACAGATTCTGTACTTGTCTTAGCCATTAAGAAGTAGAGCCATCTGAATAAATCATTTTGCAGAGAAGTAATTAAATGAAGAATATGGGTGTGAGGGCTGCTTATTAAATATCTGAGAGCTGATCTTTCTTTTCTTTGTATAATTTGATCTGCTCTGGTCAGACACTGTAATGTAATGCAAAAAAAGTGTTTAAAAAAAAACGCTTCTTCCTTTTGTTTTGCTGGCAAGTAAAAACATTTTTCACTCACTTCAAATCTTAGCATTATATAAAAATAAATGGCAAAATATTGCCTATAAATATGCATAGACATTAATTTCTCTAAGACTGTTTAGTGTCTTCAGAATCAATATACAACAAACTATTTAAATGGTTGGGAGGATATTTTAAGTTGTATATCAAGCAAGGGGGCTCCAATGCTGTATTTTTCAAAAACACTGTCCCAATATTTGGCCCCCCAAAATACTACTTCTGGAATACTGCCAAAATGAACACTCGTGTTTTCCAGACATGATTAATATTTTTCAGGAACACATATATTGGAAACATTAAGAAGCGGACAATGTATTTTATGACATTTTTTAAGGCACTTACTGATGCCCAAAGATAGAGTTCTTAATATTCAACTTAAATATTTAACTGTAACTTAATATTAAAATATCTTAAATTACAAAAAATCATTCTGAAATGATATAGTGCTCCAACAAGTAAAATTAACAGTGATTGTTAAAACAAAACATTTAAATTGCATGGAAAAGAGGCAACTAATATTAAGTGTGAAAGAGGTGAAGTGTGTGTTCTTTTGTGAAGTCCTGCAGTTGTTCCATGTGAGTATGAACTTTTTTTTTTAAGTCCTAAGTGTTGGTGGCCACACTTTATCCTGGCACTCTCATTGTCGTCTTGTCAGTTTTGAGGGTCTCTCTGGTAGCAGATGGGGGGGCCATCCAGAAAGAAGCACTGTAGCAAATATTTTAATACAATGAACAGTTTGCAGTGTTACAGTTTTTGTGTGTAAATCGTATATATTTGATTATCATAGGACATTTAGCTCAACTCCTCTTGCTTTCTGTGTTGAGATTAATAACAGATCAGATTGTAATAGCAGCACTATAAATCAAGACATTGTCTTTTCACAGCTGGAAATCACAGGGGGTACTATAATGTGGCTTGTACCACCATGATATTTAAGGTGGAGATGTGATAGTAAAAATAGCTCCCAGTATAGTACTCCACCTTGATCCAAGTGAAGGCTGCCTTAATCACAATAAAGCATCATATGTTGGGACCCATAATCTCCACATCATACTTTTCCATATTACAGATGAGAGCAGCTGCACTCAGGTCTATGATATACAAATTTGGTGCAGCTGTCAAACTTCTGCAGAATGATCTGTGTGGCCCTCAGCTGGGGAATTCCTGCTGTAGTTTGTGCATAAAGGCTCCATAATCACTTGATTTAAAATATAGTAATATGTTGCAGTTTGGAGTAATTTCAGCATAGTTTAGCGTGTGTATATATAGGAATTTTAATCATTAAAATGCTTGTTTCATTATCTGAAGCAATAAATAAGTATTAAAGCTTTAATGGTGAAGGCCTAGAATATTTTCTAGGGATTAATGGCTGCTGTGGTGAGGTGGAGTTAATGTTCCAGCTAGTCATTAACAGGACAGTAGTTCCCAAACTTGTTCCGCTGCTTGTGCAGGGAAAGCCCCTGGCAAGCCAGCCAGTTTGTTTACTTGCCACACCCGCAGGTTCAGCTGATCAAGGCTCCCAGTGGCCAGGGTTTGCTGCTCCAGGCCAGGGGCTTTCCCTGCACAAGCAGCAACACAAGTTTGGGAACCACTGAGTTAGGAAATCCCCAACTCAGAGGTCCTCATTGCTGTTATAAGCTTAATGGAATACCTTCTCCTCCCCCTCCCCCCCATTTTATCTCAAGTTGTGTACTGCTAATGCATTTTTGTTTTCAGTTTCAGTTCTTTCCTAGCAGTTAATGACCAATACAGTCTTGAAGTTTATGTGATCCTTCAAGTAGCTGTCTAATTAGTTTGGCAGGAACCCAGTGAAAAACAAAAATATAAAACATACTTTGTTTTCTATCATTCTACATTAAGTGGCGTAAATTGCTGGTTCGGGAAGATGGGAAATAGTGCCACCCCTGTATGACTAATAATTTATAGTTTGCATTCACAGAAGAAATATTATTTTATTAGCTTTTTCTAATATATCTTCTATGTTCATTTGTCTGAATTTTAACATTAGTTGCTTCTCCTAGCCCTTTTATTAGGGAAAAAAATGGCAGGCTGTTAAAAAAAAATTTAAAAAATTCTTTAAAAAATTTTAGCTCTCGTGTAGAATCTGATGTTCAGTGACATTTTAATTTTTTTAGAAGGAGTTGAAGTTGCTTGTACAAGATCATAGTAAATGGCGCACATAGACCCCAATCCTTCCAAGAGTTGCACACATGCCTAACTTTATACACAAGATAAACCCAATGATATTAATGGTACTACTCCGATTGTAAGCTCTCTGGGACAGGCAGTGTCTTTGAGTGCTGTACAAACAGAGCAAATTGCAGTGGGGTCTTGGTCCATAACTAAAACACTCAGACACTACAGTAATGCAAATAATAACAATAACAATTGTGTGAAAGTTTTTGCCGGATCATGTCAGGATTTGACCTCAAGAACTCCTTGGCATTTTGCTTCTCTAATAGATTGTGTACAAAAAGTAATTATAGCCCTTCTATAGACCAAATGTATTGCAGACAATAGAACAAGCATTTTAAATGCCGCTTTACCGTAATGTTAAAAAATGTGACCTAAAACCACCCTTGCTTGGAAGTGAGTTGCTCATCCTTACAGATTGGGCTGAGACTATAACATATTTAAAATTTTCCTTATTTGGAAGTGAAGTCAAATCTAAGGTTAACTTCTTAAAAAAACTAGGGGGTTCCATACATTGTTGTTCTGTACACTAAGCTTATTGCATGCAATAGGGGCTCCTTCCATTCCTCATACCCCATCACAAGCTCTCTGAATGCCACCTTTCCATCCTCTCTGTTTCAGATATTTCTTGCAATCCCTTCCTCATGCTAGTCGCTCTGTGTCCCCTATTCCCCCTCCATTGTATGTGTTTGGGTTTTTTTAATACCTACAACTCACATTTTGGGAGAAAAATCTTTTTTAAAGATTTGACTGTGAATTAAGAGCTGTTAAGATTGATGTGCACATTTGGGTCATCCAAGAAATTCTCAAGCATCTAGCAAAAACAGAAAACAATATTTCTAAGAAATGGGGTGTTTCTTCTCATAAAGAAATTTGATATTTAAGTCAATCCTGCAAAGAATTAAGCACACGTAAATCTACTAGCTGAATTTCAGCAGAAGCTTTAAGGTGTTGGTTTTGTCTTGTAATAACTCATTTTGTGCTTTACTGGCTGTTTGAGAGAGTGCTTCTCTCCCGATGCATCCTGTCTTGGATGCCCAAGCTAACAAATCTCTTTAAAATATGAGGAAGGGGGAAAGCAGGGCTTTCTCAGGGTGGGCTCCTGGACTTTAGAATTTACTTTTCATTGTCCCATCAGAGCCTGTATTTGGTGACTTTCAGGACATTCCACCTCTATCTGTTTCTTGGGGGTGGGGGTGGGAGGGGGACAAGACATTGATAGAAAAATGCACAGAGATAAGATCTAGTTAATTCTGGGATTGGGAGTATTTTTAGATTTTTTTTGACTTTTTTTATTATTATTATTACTATTATTACTGTTTGTGTCCTTAACTCTTGTAATATGCAAAGTTGTGGCTGTGTCTGTACACACGCTACGTTTTTGTCTTTCAAATGTCCTCGTCTATGTTTATATAGTATATAAAATGCTTCTCCTTCTGTATTTTATATACAAAGGAATAAATATTGGTTCTAATCTTGCTGCTCGTAGTCACCCAAGACTCCTGTTCAAGTAATGGGAGTTCTGCATGAATGAGGGTTCTAGAATCAGGCCCTGAGTTTGTCACTTGACTTTTTCACACTCCTCTATATGTCCCTTACTTAGCTTAGAAAAACTTAATGTTCCTTTCTTTCTTGGCAGCACATTGCCTTCAGGAAATGGCCTCTTCTAAATCTTTGCTGAATCTTCTAACCTTCACATTTGGATCAACAATAGGATTTTTCGCATGTTACATGCTCTTTAGCATAGTGTTGGAAAAACAGGTTGTGATCCAACCTGATATTCTTCACAATGATCCCCATGGTGAACACTCAGAAGAAACTGGAAGTGATCAGCTGGAAGGACAAATGAACTTCAATGCTGATGCTGGGCAGCATCAAGGTATTTATGCTTTGTACAACGTAAAAGGAGAGGGAACATTATGATCCAATTTAACATTTTTCTTTCTTCTTTGCTAGGTATTTATACACCAGTTTTTTCTTATCCCATGTCCACACACACACACACACACACACAATATACAATCAAGTAGGTTTCCCCTCCTAAGGCATTGAATGATTGGTTTTTCTTTACTAACTTGCATTTTCTAATAAGAGTGATTTTTCAGAGAGCCCAGTACTTGCCAACTGTTGCATCCAGACTTGGAAATGGAGATAGCGGTTTAAAGTTTGGTTCCTGGAGCTTCTTAAGTGGTAAACTACAACAAATATATATATATATTTTTTCATTTGACACACATAGTACTTCATAGGCAGCTAGATTGCTTTTTAGTTTTACTTAAGCTAATTTAGGAGCATCTATAATCTGTTATTAAGTTTTTAAAATAAAAGTGAAACTTTAGAAGTAGCCCATTATTCTTTAAACCTGATCAGTCAAGCGGCTTACATTTTGGGAGGGGAAAAATGCTATAGATCTTGGTTGTCTGAAGCATGTAGTATTTAATGTCATTATATAATACTTGAAGATTCTTGAATGAAAAGTTCTGTGTAAGTTCAGAGTGCTTCACAAACATTAAGCAAACCACCTCAATCCTGTGAGGCAGATAAATACCTCTTTTTTCAGGTATTAAAACTGGTGCATAGAAAAGTTAAATGACTTGCTTAAGGTTATACAGATCTGTGACAGCAAAGAAAATAGAGCTAAAGATTCCTAGCTTCCAGCCCTTTGCTCTACCCACTAGATCAGGGGTCTCAAACTCAAATGACCACAAGAGCCACATGAGGACTAGTACATTGGCCCGAGGGCTGCATCACTGACGACCCCTGCTGCCCCACCTTTTCCCTGCCCCCATGCCAACCCCTTCCCCAAAATCCCCACCCCAACTCTGCCCCCAGGGGGCTCAGGGCAGGGAATTTGGGGTGCAGCAGGGAGTCGGGGTGCAGGAGGGGTGTGGGGTGTAGCAGGGGGTTCGGCTGCAGGAGGGGTTCGGGGGGTGGGCTCCGGCCTGGCACACACTGGGGGCAGGGCAGGCTCCCTGCCTGCCCTGCCCTGCCCCGCCCCCGCGCTGCTCCGGGAAGTGGCCGGGACCTGGGGGAGGGGGGGCATAGGGGTCTGTGTTGTCCTGGCCGCGCCTCCAAGCACCACCCCCCGCAGCTCCCAGAACAGGGAACCACGGCCAGGGCAACACACAGACCCCTGTGTCGTCGTTGTCACCCCCCCCCCCCCCCGCAAGTCCCGGCTGCTTCCCAGTGCGGGCCAGGCTGAGCTGCTCTAGGTAAACGCTGTGGGGGCGGGGGGGCCACGGGGAGCTGGCAGGCTGCAGAAAATAACCCAGCGGACTGCATGTTTGAGACCCCTGCACTAGATCTTCAAGGGGAGGCTGTTTGCTTCTTTCCTCCCCCTCCCTTCCCCTAGTTTCATTTTAACACAGGCAACTTATAGAATGAAGTGAGGCTGGTGGTCTGAATTTCATGGGGGAATTAAATGACATAATCTCATAACCAAAAAATACATTCCAGCTAATTGGTGGTGAAAAGGGTAATCAGGAATCCAAAGCCATATTCATTCAGAAACAAATTAATTCTACTGTACTTTAATTTTGTTGTTCTCGGGTACTCAAAACAAATAACCATATTTATTTGCAATTCCATGCACTTTTTTACAATGGATATATTTTGTCAGACTGATTAACTGTAAAATTTAGGGCCCAATCTTGACTGCAATGAGACTACTTATGTGAGTAAGGTACTTACTTATGTTAAGGTTTGCAGAGCCAGGCCACTAATCAGTAACTTAAAACTAAATGTATTTAAACTGAAAAACACATGCAAACCTGTTTGTTCTCTGAAATGTGCACACTATTATAGTAAATTATTGTAAGGAAAATTGGCCTGACCTTGTATAAAGGTAAACAAACAGTTTTAGGACCTCATCTTGCAATCTGATCTGAACCTAAATAGAATCTCATTGACTTAAATGTTGTCAGTTGAAGTCAATGGGACACGATGGGCATGTCTGCACTACAAAATTATGTCATCCTAAGTTATATTAGCATACGGCTGCTGCAGTAATTAAATTGATTTTGTGTGTCCACATTAAGCTCCTTGTGCCAGCATTGCATGTCCTCACCAGCAGTGCTTGTACCAATTGGACTGTCAGCATGAGTCATTGTGGGATGGCCTCTGAAAGCTAGTAACAGTTGATGAAAGCAACGCTGTGTCTACCCTGATGCTGCATTGACCTAATTACATTGATTTTCTGCGTCTCGGACAGGTAGAGTTATCAAGTCGGCATTGAGGGGCAGTTATGTCAGTGGGAGCACAATTTTAGTGTAGACACATTCTTAGGTCAACGTAAGCTGGCTTGAGTTGAACTAATTGTAGTGTAAACCATGCCTAGGTACAGGGGTGCATCTACTTGGGTCCAATTGCAGAATTGGTGCATGAGTTTTTAAACCTTAAACATATTTAAACCTTAAATAGGTGTAGACTTTTCTCTGATTAAGTTGTCAGTGTATCTGGAAATGAAGAGTATTTCAGACACAGCAATGATGATTTTTATCAGAGTATTGCAGAATCTATTTCTTGTCTCCTTACAGTAAATAAAGATTTAATTTGTTTTCTGGTGATAAGTTGCCTTTTCTGTCTGTCTTGCTGCTTTTAACTTGAAAACCAGTTTCAGTAGTTGGTGACAGTTATTTTAAAATAAGTTTGTAATTATTAACATTTAGGTATTAAAACTAAACATTTAAAAAATCTAATTTGTTCTTCACCATTGATATTTTTTTACTTAGCACGGACTGTTTAAAAAATAAAATATAAAAAATTTGAAGCCAGTCTTTTTTATTTCATTTTTTAGTCAATTTTTTAAAGTTTTCATTTGCTTCATAAGTCTACCGGAGAATTTTTAAATAAATTTGAGTTGAATATTTTTAAATTCATGTAAGATTTTGTAAAACTATGTTTGGTTTTTTTGTGAGAAGATCTTAATAGTATCCATTTTACTTCTCTTGTAAAACTAAGTAGGAATAAGTATTTGAAAATTAATTTACATTTTTTCATTCTTGAATTTAACTTTGGTCTTGCAGACCGAACAAAATGCGAAGACAAATGTTGGTCACCAAATTTCAGGTAATATAAATTGGACTGTACATGGCTTGTCTTGTATTAAATATGACAGAAAAAAGTTGTCCAAAACAGAAGTCTCATCTGATGCGCATCTATACTGGACTTCTTCCCATTCATCTCTTTGCACTTTCTTAATGGCTAACAAAACTTATTTTTTTCTTACACATTGCTGAATCATTTCTATTGTACTCTTCCATTGGTGTTACTACTTAGCAAACACACTAAGGTATCATGGAATTTCTTTCCTCCTCTTTTTCTCTCTTCCCCCCTTTAGATGAGAACAAAAATATTGCAGAAGGACTGTATCAGAAGGTGAAAATACTGTGTTGGGTGATGACTGGGCCTCAGAATCTAGAGAAAAAAGCCAAGCATGTTAAGGCTACTTGGGCCCAGCGTTGCAATAAAATACTATTTATGAGCTCTGAGGAGAATAAAGACTTTCCAGCTGTGGGACTAGAAACCAAAGAAGGCAGGGACCAACTGTACTGGAAAACTATTAAAGCCTTCCAGTATGTACATGACCATTATTTTGACGATGCTGATTGGTTTATGAAAGCAGATGATGACACGTATGTTATACTGGACAACTTGAGATGGCTTCTTTCAAAATACAATCCCGAACAACCAATATACTTTGGAAGAAGGTTTAAGCCTTATGTGAAACAGGGCTACATGAGTGGAGGAGCAGGATATGTACTGAGCAAAGAAGCTCTAAGGAGATTTGTTAATGCATTTAAAACCAACAAATGTTCTCATAGCTCTTCTATCGAAGACCTAGCACTCGGAAAATGCATGGAGAATATTAATGTAGAAGCTGGAGATTCAAGGGACACAAGTGGTAAAGAAACTTTTCATCCCTTTGTGCCAGAACATCACTTAATCAGAGGTTATCTACCTAGAACATTTTGGTACTGGAATTATAATTATTATCCTGCAGTAGAGGTAAGTTGTTTTGGTTTTTTTTTTGTTTGTTTTTTTTTTTTAGAAAGGCTGTGTTCATTATATGAACATTTCTGAAGTTATATTTTTATATATACAGTGATTATAGCCTATTTAACTGTTCATTATTAAAATGTTCTGGGAAAATAAAATGATTTTGTTGTGAGTGCTTGAGACAGATTTAAAGGTGGAATCATTATATATTCCATTTATAAATTAAAACTTGAAAGCAAGTGCCTAGTGTACTATGAGAATAAGTTAATCTGAAATTACTTTCACTATTCTCATGTCGTAAAAGATGGACTAGATGCTCCAGTAGGTCTCTTCTATCTAACTCTTGTGCTGTATAGTTTATAACAGGATGTTGGCGGCTACTTGTTTCCTGTTGCTAAATCACATTAAAAGGCAGCTAAAATACATATATATTTTCTAATGTTACCTTTCCATGTCGTCAATTACTGTAGTTGCAACTGGGTGGTTATGCAATCGTGAATGGGAGGGAATATGTGGTCCATGAGAAAATTGAAGGTATGGTCCATGCTAGTTTGAGAATCCCTACAAAGAATTGCCTTTTGTAATTTTAGAGGATACTACTTGCCTGTCAAAGTTGAGGGGAACATGAGAAGTTTGCAGTGAGTGTAAGTGGTGGAACTTAGCTTTTTAGCACCTCTTATTTTTAAATTGCAATAACTGATTTTTTTGTTAGTCAAATTCTACCAGTTTAAAGCTGAATGTGAGGTTCTTATTGTTGACCTGATTTACAGAGAAATGGAGACCTGTATATCTCATTCTAATCAATGAGAGATATAGTTCTTGAAAGTAATGATAGCTGCAGGTACTCATATCTCAAAAAATCTGGTTTGCATATAATCTCTGTAATAGCCTTATTAACAACCTAAAGATCAGGAACATAGGACTGAAAAGGACCTCCTGGTTACTGAGTCCAGTACCATGCTATCACAGGCAACCCATTATATAATCCTGTTCATAAATTTATCAAGTTCCATCTTAAAATTAGTTAGTTACCACAGCTATTCAATTTACAAAAAACTATCTGTAAATGGAGTGGGAATTACACTAACACTGGGTGCTTTTGAAACTGTTCCTCTTGGAGTCAGTGGTGAAACTCCCATTTCATTTGGGAGCAGAGTTAGGTTAATATTGAATACTTTTGAAATCCCACTTGCCACGTAATACCACCAAACCATTCTTGGTGTATACAAATGTAGCATGGCTGTGATAATAAAGTGATAAAATGTGCCATTTAGTAAATGGAAAAAATCTTCTGTTCCACTTTTAAGAGGCTATCTTGAAAGCACTTTTAGTGTAATCTAATAGGACAATAAAAAATAGATGATTAAGATGAGAGGCAAAAAAATGACACTGGAACTTGCATTGTCCTGTTTTATTCCCAGAAGCAAATATTTTAAAAAAGAGATAGTGGGTATGTTGTTCAAAGCTCAGTACAGTACTGTGGACTCAGCTGATTTAGTCCTCATCCTTGATTAAGAAGGACCCTTTGAATTATTTAAACACAGTTGCCCCCTAAACTGATTTTGAACATGTCTAGCTGGTGTGTAAGTCCAAATTGTGTGTCTAAGAATTGTGTTTAAAAAACAATATTCAAAAGACATACTTGCAACTAGTTTTGATAGTGAAATATATAAAATACATACAGTAACTCCTCACTTAAAGTCGTCCTGGTTAACATTATTTCATTGTTACGTTGCAGATTTATTAGGGAACATGCTCGTTTAAAGTTGCGCAATGCTTCCTTATAATGTTGTTTGGCAGCCGCCTGCTTTGTCCACTGCTTGCAGGAAGAGCAGCCCATTGCAGCCAGCTGGTGGGGGCTTGGAACCAGGGTGGACTGGCAACTCCCCTGTGCCGCAGCTGCCCAGCAGGCTATCAATTGGCAGCAGTTCAGTTGTCCCTCCCCCCACTGCCATGTGCTGCTCCTGCCCTCTGCCTTGGAGCTGTTCCCAGGAGCCGCCTCCTTGCTGTGCAGGGGGGAGGGAAAATGGGAGCTAATGTCAGGGTGCCCCCCTCCCCCCTTCTCCTGCCCCCCTGCTTACCCCTTCTCCATATAGAGCAGGATGGGGACATGATAGGGCTCAGGATGGAGAGAGCTTTCTGGCCGCAGGTGCTGTCTCAATATCCTGGTATATTTAAAAAGGCAGTGTACTTAGAGTGGGATCAGTGTACTTAAAGGGGCAATGCGCATTCTCTCTCTCCCACACACAGGGTGTGTCTCTGTCTGCCATGCTGTCTCCCCTCCCTCCATTTGTGCTGCCTTGTAGAGTGTGAGGCTACATTAACAACAATGTATTAACCCTTGAGGGCTCAGCCAAATTCTAGTTCATCATTTAGCAGTAAGTCATTCCCTGGGAAATATCCCACCCTCTGATTTCACCACATCAACCAAGTTTCACAATCATAATTGCTGTGTACAGTATTAAATTGTTTAAAACTTATACTGTGTGGGTGCACATATATATAAAAATATAGTTTTTTTGTCTGGTGAAAAAAATTTCCCTTGAACCGAACCCCCCCCCCATTTACATTAAGTCTTATGGAGAAATTGGGTTCGCTTAACATAGTTTCGCTTAGTTGCATTTTTCAGAAACGTAACTACAATGTTAAGTGAGGAGTTATTGTACACATTAAATTTAAGTCGTCAATGGAATGGTCTCGCAGTGGAAATTGTGGAAGCAAGTTGATGGGCATGTAAAAGTTAACTTTTTTAATGTAAGTGTTTACTCCAGCTTTGGTAATCTTTAATTTTTCTATATCTGCATATTTTTAGTCCAATCTCAAGGACCTAGAGTGTTGAGGGTGTGGAAAATATCTTTATAGACGTAATCCAGGGGTTTTCAACCTTTTTTCATTTTTGAACCCCTAAATATTTTGAATGGAGGTGCAGACCCCTTTGGAAATCTTAAACATAGTGTGAGGACCACCAGGAGTCAAAAACCACTGTTGTAAGCTAATATCCTTTTTTCTGTTGATAAATTTGGAAGAGAATTTCATGCATGAAACTGCAATTAAGGGAGCATCCACTGATAACTACCAAAATAGTTCTATGTCTTTGCCAGTCCTCCTGCTGAATGTCTCATCCGGGTGTGGTAATGGATCTAGTTTCTTTCAGCTTTGTGATTACTCGTGTTCATTTCTAATGAGTAAGGCTATGATTTAATCACAGGTGTTTTTAGTAAAAGTCATGGGCTGTGATTTTTTTGTTTGCCTGTGACCTGTCCATGACTTTTACTAAAAATACCCATGATTGAATCTTGGGGTTGAGTGGGGGGAGCCCCACAGGCCCGTGGCAGCAACTGGTGGAGGGGGCCCCACTGCTGCTGCTTGGGCCACCCCTGGAGGGGACCGGCTGCCAGGAGCCACCGAGCTGTGTCTGCTCCCGTCGCCACTGCTCATGCAGTCCCTGGGGCCAGCCGCATCTGCCGCTGCTCAGGTGGTCCCTGGGGCCAGCAGCCAGGGGCTACCAGAGCAGCAGCCGGTGCAGCTGGCCCCAGAGCCTCTCCAGCAGCAGCCGGGGTGGCTGCCTGAACAGCTGCCTGGGGCTAGCTGCTTGGGCAGCCCTGGGTTCAGCCACACTAGCCGCTGCAGAAGTGCAGGAAGTCACGGAATCCATGACTTCCCTGACCTCTGTGACAGACACAGAGCCCTACTAATGAGTAGAACTGCTAGGTGGAAAACTTGTTTTTTGTAGGTGAGAAGTGCAAGTATTTTCAAAAGCCTTGTTCCATGTAACGTGTAATCTGTGTAATGCGTTAGACTTGAGTTGTATATCGGGGATATGGCCAGCAGCCATACCGAATCAAGTTGTTACCTCATATCTTACTAGCTAAATGGTGATGGGTTTGGATAAACTTTCAAGGAACATGTAGATGCTGTAGGAAGTGGTGCTGGTGATTTAGTAAGTAGCACTCTTACTGCTTTAGCAGCGTTGAGCCAGTAAACTAGCATGCTACCTGAAGGCACTTTGGAGGTGCTATTTTCGGGATTATATATAAAACCTAGGTCCTGATTATCAATATTTTAACAATAAAACAGTGAAACTCCTAATAGTATTTTTTTTTTAAAGAACTGTTAGCATTTATAATTAAAGGTGCGGCATGATCTGTAGGAGTGACCATATGATTGGTTCTGAGGTTTAATATTAGCCCTGCCACTGACTCTCACTAGATCTTGGGCTAATTTCTGTGGGGTTTTTTTTTCTGCCTCCATTTCTTTATTTTGTAGAATTGGGGGCAATACTATCCGTATCTCATGAGGGAAAGCAGGACTAATGAGTTGTGTATTTATACACCATTTTAAACAATTGTATAAGGGGAAACTTCTCACAGACACAGTGGGGAGGGAGACATCTAACTCCCTCCTGTGTTGTTGAAAATCACTAAGTGCTAAATTTTTATTAGGCTTAAACCTCTGGTTAAAAATTAGCCTTGGTAATTTTATTTATTTTTTTTTTTTTGCTTTAAATGCTCCCTCAGTTACTGTTAAAGGACCCAGTCTTTCATGCACTCTGCACATTGCCCTATCAAAATCAGTCGGAGTTCTGCTGGTGAATGATCTGTAAGACTGGCCTAAACTATTAGTGTTTCAGTTGCAAGTGAGTGAAAGCTGCCTGAAAAGTGCTTTGATATGAAAGGTGTCAATAAATTCTATACTTTATTTCTGTAAATCTCCATATGGAATGAACATTTTGACATATTTAGCTCCTTCTTAGTAATAACTAAAATATTTATGTAGTTGCAGCAGATTCTGAATAGATACCCTGTATGATGTATCTTTAAGTATTTACATTCCAAATTAGGGGGATGGAGAGATATAAAACACACTCTTCTCTCCCCCCCCCCCGATGTAATTTCTTTAGTGCTTGGCAGTCAGTTCCCTTGTTCATATACCTGGTCCACGCAGGTAGGAGACCAGTGATCTTGTTTTTAGTCTTTTACAGTCGTCTTCATGGTAACAGTGGGCTTTATTGTGGAATATAAAGGCATGACAGCCACTTAAGTTGCTGTTGTTGGAATATGGTGTAAATGTGCTAACACTCTTCAACAAATTAAAACCGATAATATTTAGGATCCAGTATCGAAGGATATTGGATAAACTGTTAGCTGCTTTCCAGGCTGAGTATTACTGTTAGAAAAAATAGAATTACTTTACCATATCAAATCCATGGTTCATCTAATCCGGTCATGTCTCCAAGGGTGCCAATTACAGATGCTTCAGCAATGGACAATTCTGGAATAACTCCCCTACCAATAGGGAAGCTTCTTCCTAACTCCAGGTAGTTGGCTTATGCTCTGAAGCATGAGGGCTTACTTCACTTACAAGTTATAACTAATATAACAGAGTGTTTCGTAGCAACTTTATAAATGCTGCCCTTTTTTTGGAAGCCTACTGAGTTCCTGGCTAAAAATTGATTATTTCTTTGCCATTTTCTAATCGATAACAATGCTTTACCTTTCACTTCATGACTACTTAGTTTAGTTTATTAACTAGGCTCTTCAGAAGGACTTTGTCAAAAACTTTTTGAAAGTCCAAATAAATTATATCTAAGTGTTCTCCTGTGTCCATTACTTTGACATATTTAAAGAATTTCCTGACCAGATGTCATGCTTATTTGCCTCTGTTGTATTAGGTAGGTGTACTCATAGTAGCATTGTATAGCCTAAGAGCTCGTCCTGGATCAATACCCCATGGTGCTAGGTGATGTACAAGCACATATTTCTATCATTCCAACCAGTTCATCTGAAAATGAAATCTATGGGTCTCAACAATTTTAGGATCAACCCTAGCACTTCCCTAAAATAAGAATAATAGATCTGGGACTTGCTATATTCCAGTCCTCTAGCATAGTAATTTGATTTTAATCAGAGTTTGCATATTTTTAGCAGCTTAAGCACTTCATTCTTAAATTGCTTCAAAAATCATAAATGAGTACCTTCCGTTCCTGGTGACTCATTACTATTTAATTTATCAATGTGTCCCAGAACTTTCTCTTTGACAGCTCAGTTTTGGACATTGTCATCTTCTAGCTGATAAGAATATCTCTTGTAGGCAGATCCCCAAAATCCACCTGATGGTAAGGACTGATTTAAAGAGAGAATGTAGTTTCCATTGTTTGAAGAATACCTATTTGTTTCAAACTCTAGAACCCTGACATTTAACCGTAGTGGGAGGCAGACTGTGTTTCTACTTCCATTCATTTGGCCTCAGTAACCATTACTGTATGCTTACATACTCAACTCCCATGCTGAGTTTAAGGATAGTAATTTCCTCACATTAGGGTCTCGTTAACTAGCTTTAATTCATTTTTTAAAATTTCTGTCAAGTTTTTAGTATCACTTTTTTTTGTGTGCACAGACTTTCCAGTGAGAGTTTGGCTAGTTTGAACTAAGGCTGGTCAAAATGTAGGATGTAATTTGTAGAAACGACAACCCACTTCTGTTCTTCAAAAATTTGAAAATTTAATTGAAATTGGGGACAAAAATTGAGCAGCTTCAGTTTAAACAGGGTGGCAGAAAAATTAGAGATTTGAGGGGTTATCCATTGTTGCTCGCTATTTGCATCCAAGCAGAAATCTGTCAGGTACCTTTCTAGCACCAGGTCTTTAAACAAAGTACTTCAGCTGTTTTGGCTGTTTCTGGTATCTTTGTTTTAACTGCAAGGCTGGAGACTTGCAATTGAATTAGAAATATGGAAACCAAACTGAAGATGTCCTGGAGAATAGGTGAGGAAAATGGAAGGTAAGGAAAAGTGGATGTAGAGAAACCTGGGTGAAGATTCTGGGAAGCAGAGTCCACACAGATCAGTTACTGCACAACACATTAGTGAGTTTTAGAAATTACACTGTGCTCACTGTACACCGGACATGCTCTTAGTCATGTTGTCACAGAAACTATCTAAAGCACATCAAGCATTCTTGAAAGATGTTGTTTTCCATTTGGGGATGATGATCAAGCAAAATAGTATACCAGGGTCTGAGTACTCTATTCCTGCAAAATTTAGGCTTTGCAGTGTGAATTATTGATAAGTGAATTGTTTGATAAAGTGAAGCCAAATATGTATTATTTACACTGTAGAGAGAATTATTTTTAACATTTTATGCACATTTTGAAATGTCCTCTGAGTCTTTTTGTTTGTTTTCCCCATTTTTAGGGTCCTGGATGCTGCTCTGATCTTGCAGTTTCATTCCACTATGTTGATTCCATAACTATGTATCAGTTGGAATACTTGATTTATCATCTCCGACCATATGGTTACCTATACAGGTACAATCCTGACTCACTCAAGAATCTAGAAAAGCAAATGACAAGCAAAGCAGAGGATAATGATGCAAAAGCTAAAGCAGAAAGCTCCTGAAACTGAATCAGACTTCTACTCAATATGTGGAACAGTGCACTGACAGAAGTATCATGGAGTGAAAAGCAGCTACATCTAGCTCAGACAGGACTCTGGAATTGCTAGTGGTAATTCTTTTTGAATTTTAAAAGCTCTGTGTTGGTCTTCCTCTGTGACTGCAAACTACAGGTTTCGTTGTGCAGTTCTTATTCATGGGGATAGTGGGACTTTTCACATGTTAGGACTGCAGAATCAGGTCCTAAAGCTTTTACGTGATCTGTGAAATCTGAGGTGGCTTTTTTACAAATTCTTCATGTTTATATTATTGTATTAAAACAAATGGATGGTGGTGAGGTTCAAGCACGATTATACAGTATTTTCTAGTCATTTTTGTTTTTGCCCCCGTTCCCCTTCCCATTATTTTGGATAAGTACTAGTGTTAGAAATCTTGGGCTACATTGGTCCATCACTTTGAGATGGTGATGATACTGGAGAAATTTGATGTGAAGTAACTGGCTGAAAAGAGGGAAATAAGTCTTCAAAACCTCTCCTGCCTTAAAGACAGACTTCAAACTATTTGGTGTAATTAGTAATACTGTGCCTGTTTAATGTTGAAATCTGAAGTACTTCCCAAATGAAATGAATTTGTTACTCTTTGCCTCATCATAAACTTCCCCCAAGATACTATTTGTTCTACAAAACAGACACCCAGTTGGCTTGCTCTAATTGGTGAAAAGCCCAGGAATAGCAAGACTATACATCTTGGAGTATGTTGAAGATGTGTGAAAACTTGCATACCTGCCCACTCTGTGCCTCTTGGTGTGTACTCCTTGCTTGAATGGGCACAAAATTCATCCAAAAGCTTTTTAATGTACATATGATAGAAATAAACCCCTTACAAGTGCAATTTCCTCCCCTTGTATTCATTCTGTAAGCCAAAAAATGCATGATATAACACCACAGTCATACAATAAAGACTTGTTAGACAGCAAGGCTTTTATGCACTAGCGTACAGTAATTTCCAGATTCACCCAGTGTTACTATTAGTTTATTTCTATTTAATTTACACATTGCTTTACTGTAGGTTTTTTGGGGGGCCAGTGGGGAGGAGGAGGGTTCTTTGTTTATGGAAGTGATTTGGCACCCAAAAAGGTACTATTTTAAATCACAGTGTACGTTCTCTTACTATGATTTTTTGAATGTTCCCTACAAATTCCATTTTATTTGGTTGTAATATGTAGTTCCACTTCTGAGGGTTTTGTCTGGTTTATAGTGTCTTTTTTCTGTGTCTTCAGTTTAAGATTTTCATGTCATTTTAAATTCTCTTTATTGTCTGTCTTGTGAATGTGTTGTACAGTTATTCAGGTAAGCCAACCTGAATGCAAGGACCCTTTCAAAAAGTGCATTTATTTCGTCCACTATGTGGCTATGGGGAGTAGCTCTATGTCTAATTAGCTAAAAAGGATCCACTGGTTATCTGTGAGATGGACTGATTATCAATATATTAAAATACAATCAGAGGTTAAACCAACTATAGATTTTTTGCTCTTGTGATCAATATAGTATATACATCATTTGCCCAGTTTTATGTTCTGCCTAGCTTGACACATTGGCTGTCTTCGGTCCTCAGTTTCACAAAAGCTTCTTTATCACTTTTCTGTTGTTGCTGGTTTTCATCTTCATCATATTGGTGAGTTTGGCCAAAACCTTACTTCCCTTAGCCAGTGTTTTGATGAGGTCAAATTACTGGTTGTAAATGGCCTTACTAAAATGGTTACCACTGTCCTCTTGAGGATGTTGCTAGGAGATTTTGGGAGACTCTGGAGTAGTATGTCTGACTTTAGTGTCTCTCAAACATTATTTGCCAACAAACATCATGACTGACTTATCTGTTTTCTTCTGTTCTGCCTTGTGACATGATGCCAATAACCACAGTATTTCATGAATGTGAAGTAAACATAGCCACTTTTGCTGCTCCTCCGTGTCTGAACACAGGATTATTTATATTCCCTAGTACCACTGATGTTGTCATATAGAGATTTTTTTTAGTTATTTCATATTTAAATCTAAATATTTCATAATGAATATTTTTCACTAGCAGGATTGCCTCACACATAGGCTGGAAGGGGTAGGAGCTTTAATGTGTGCTGTGAATTGACCTATAGAACTCTTTAAAATTTGAACCTATTGGGTGATTGAAAAGCTGTGCTTTTTATCGGAGATTATGCTGATGCTGGTCCAAAGGAGAATATTTATCATTTGTTTCAGCTGAACTGTAGAAGGTGATTAAGTTTAGCAAGGTATTCCCATGTGAGAGTCACTCATTTAAACTAACATTAGGTCATATGAGATACAGCAACTAGGATTGCTAAATCAATATGCTAAAAGCACTGACAGCTACAGTGATTAATATATTGTTCAGATTCTTGGCTAAATCATTTTATTAACAGCTGATGGCATTTAATCTAAATTTAACAAGTTGATAGTTTTGATTTAAAATTCTGTATACTCAGCCAATGTAAAAGACGTACTGAATTGCAAATCTATAGTTCTCCACTACCATTCTCTTCTCCTTCAAGGTCACCCATTGACCTGTAACAAAAAAGGAACTTCTCAGCTTGTGGTGTAGGCAGCCAATGTTTTAGTGAATTGGGTGGGCTGTGTCTTGAGAAATGCAAATCCCCTTCTCCAGTAAAGTGTTAGCAAGGATACTTCAGAAAGCATTTAGTACAGGGGTGGGCAAAGTATGGCCCGGGGGCCACATCCGGCCCTTCAGACGTTTTAATCCATCCCTCAAGCTCCTGCCGGGGAGCAGGGTCCAGGGCTTGCCCTGCTCCGTGCGTGCCATGGCTCCCGGAAGCAGTAACGTGTCCCCCTCTCCAGCTCATATGCATAGGGGCAGCCAGGGGGCTCCACATGCTGCCCCCGCCCCAAATGCCACCCGTACAGCTTCCATTGGCCGGGAACTGCAGCCAATGGGAGTGGCAGGAGTGGTGCCTGCAGATGGGGCAGCACGCAGAGCTGCCTGGCTCAGTCTCCAGGTAAGAGCTGGAGGGGGGACATTCCGCTGCTGCCGGGAGCTGGTTGAGGTAAGTGCCACCCGAAGACTGACCCCCTGACCCAGCCCTGATCCCCCTCCTGCCCTCTGAACCCCTCAGTCCCAGCCCAGAGCACCCTCCTGCATCCCCAACCTCTTATCCCCAGAGCCTGCACCCCACATCTGGAGCCCTCACTCCCTGCCCCAGTCCGGAGCCCCCTCCCACACTCTGAACTCCTCATTTCTTGCCTCACCCCGGAGCCCTCAACCTTTTCCCACACCCCAATTTCGTGAGGATTCATGACCTGCCATACAATTTCCATACCCAGATGTGGCCCTCAGGCCAAAAAGTTTGCCCACCTCTGAATTTAGTATCTTTCTAAGAAGGCTTCTGTTTCCACCCTCCACCACATATACCCAGAAAGGAGAACAGAAAGTTTTGCCTTCCAGTATCACTGATTGAGAAGTATTGACTTGACTTTGTTAATTTTTCTAAAACTATTGTGTTTTTTCTGTCAAATTCCAGTATCATTATGGAAACAAAATGAATGATACGTAGGGATTATTAACTTGTTTTTTACTTTGGTAGCCATTTTACCAGATAGCTTTCCAAACTTGGCTACCTAATAAACATTTATGATTGCTTTTATCAGAGGGGCTTTCAACATTGCAGCCTCCTTGTATAGTATTCTACAATTGTGAGCCACTGATTTCAGTGTGATGTCATCACTTTAAGAGCAAGCACATAGTATGAGTACTTTTGCAGCCCAGGCAAGCTACTACAAGGAATCCTTCCTTAGTTGATTTGCTTTTCTTAGACTATGCCTTTGAAGTGTAGGGGTACAGGATGCTTTATGCCACAGTGCTCATTACTCTTGATTTTTAATTTTAAAAAAGCTTGACAGAATTCTATAGCCACAATGTAGTGATTGAAACAATCCAATCATGTAATTCCAGTCTAAATTTCTTTAAGAAAATTACCTGGCAATAAATTCTCTACAATCCCCGGGGTTTATCCTGAGAGTCAGAGATATGGGTTTTGTTCTTTCAATAGGCTTCTTAATATTTTAGTTGCTTTGTTTTTCAGAACATTCATTAGACATGCATTAGTTTCCAGAGGCATATTGACAATATGATAATATTATCAAATTATCCGAAGCTCTTACTTGTGGCGTGGTACTGAATGTTACACTTTCAGATGAATGACTCAATTGAACTTTATTTAATCTTTTTACTCTTTGTTGTTAATTCAGTTTAGCAATTTGCACTGTATTTGTCTGCATGAGTTGGCACACTCCCCAGTGATACCTTGTTTGTCCTTTTGCTTAACATTTCTTTCCCCTTGGATTTTTTTTCATGATCTTTCTGAGAACGCTTCTACAGCTCTATCCAGTTACGCTTTCATAAGTGAAAAAGTTTCAGTCACTGCATTTTAACAGACTACTCTCAAAATAGCTAGGAGCCACCCTCTTAGTTTAAAGAAAAGGAGTACTTGTGGCACCTTAGAGACTAACAAATTTATTTGAGCATGAGCTTTCGTTAGCTACAGCTCACTTCATCTGATGCATTCAGTGGAAAATACAGTGGGGAGATTTATATACACAGAGAACATGAAACAATGGGTGTTACCATACACACTGTAAAGAGAGTGATCAGGTAAGGTGAGCTATTACCAGCAGGAGGGGGAAAACCTTTTTGTAATGATAATCAAGGTGGGCCATTTCCAGCAGTTGATAAGAACGTCTGAGGAACAGTAAAGGGGGGGGGGGGGGAGATAAACATGGGAAAATAGTTTTACTTTGTGTAATGACCCATCCACTCCCAGTCTTTATTCAAGCCTAGGTTGATTGTATCCAGTTTGCAAATTAATTCCAATTCAGACGTTGGAGTCTGTTTTTGAAGTTTTTTTGTTGAAGAATTGCCACTTTTAGGTCTGTAATCAAGTGACCAAAGAGACTGAAGTGTTCTCTGACTGGTTTTTGAATGTTATAATAAAACATACAGATACAGACAGACAGACATCATCATCCTTTCCAAATGCAAACAGATGGACATCATACCAAAAGGACTGAAGGTAAAAAATCCATTACAATCTACAGACTATGCTGACAGCTTGTGCCACACACTCTCAAAGAAACTGTGGATCCACCTGAGCAACATCGTTTACAGCAAACAGGAAAAGATTAAGAATGAGCTCTCAAAACTGGATACTCTCAAAAAACCAACCTTCCACACAAACTTCCTCTTGGCTGGCTTAGGGGGTCTTTCATGTCAAGGTTCCTTCCCCACTCTGAATTCTAGGGTACAGCTGTGGGGACCTGCATGAAAGACCCCCTAAACTTATTCTTACCAGCTTAGGTTAAAACTTCCACAAGGTACAAACTTTTACCTTTTGTCCTCGGACCTTATGCTGCCACCACCAAGCGTGTTAAACAAAGAACAGAGAAAGAGCCCACTTGGAGACATTTCTCCTCCCCCCCCCCCCCCCAAAATATCCCCCCATAATAAATAAATTTGTTAGTCTCTAAGGTGCCACAAGTACTCCTTTTCTTTTTGCGGATACAGACTAACACTGCTGCTACTCTGAAACCTTGTAGTTTACATACTCTGATAATCTGGAGAAAGAGGTGGCATCTTGATAACATAACTACCATTGATATTAATGATTTGGGCACGCACACGCTATGATGAGAATAATCACCTTAGTATAGGACTAGGAAATTAACCTTTCCAGTTTTTACTGTGGCAAGAAAAAATGTGTGTGAACCCCAACAAATGTAGCAGCTCTTCATCTTACTGTGTTGTGTTTAAAATACTCTGCTAAATGAACTGCAGCTGTTTGTTTGAAATATAGTTTCAGAAAGACGTACGTTGCTGCTGAGCAGTCTATTCCATTAAAATCAGTGAATGTTCTGGATGGAATTTGAGACAAGAAACCATTGTTGTCGACAATGAATGGTGACTTACGTGTTTTTAAGTGATCACCATAAACAAAAATTTATTTTTAAAAAACTTCTTTGAAGTGCCTTTGACCGTCTTTTAGTAATGAATTCAAAGTGATAACTGCACAAATAAAATGGATCTCACAAAGCTTGTCTCTTGTGTTCATTTACTCATTCAGTACAGGTGAGCTTGATAGAGGCACCAGCTTACCTAGGCATTTCCTTACAATTTTTTCAACTCAGTAGATAAGGAATGGCATATTTTGAAAAAACAAAAACAGTCTCATTTTGCACTTGTTTCCTATCTTTTGTTTGTGCTACATAAATATACATGTTCATATTTTCTTTACAAAATAGACAACTTAGAAAATGTCTTTGTTTTGTATTTTTTCAGAATGTGAAGTTAGGCCCCAGTATTATAAACTGGATCCACACAGGCAGGCCTTTGTTCCTGCAGAGTCCCATTGATTTCAGTGTGATGCAAGTGCAAGGGTCTGTTTTCCATTATTCAGTTTATAGGATCCAGACCTAATGCTTATATATAATTGCCTCAACATTAGACTAGAACTGTTAGCAAGTACCCCTTTTTTGTGAAATGTCACAACTTTTTGTTTCCACGTGCTTTTCAACTCTTTCAATGACTTTTGTATTTTTGCATGTATACCTAAAATTCATACTTTGTTTCAAAAACTTTGCATTTTTTCATCTGAGAAAATCAGTTTAAAGTGACCACTTTTTACTTAGCTTCCTAGATTCAGCAGACACCATACAGGACTCCAGTTTTTTCATTATACTGAATATCACTGTGACAGAGTGCTAGGCGAGAACAGCTGAGCCAGCACTCTGGTCAGCAGTTCCAATCAAACAATGCAGAATGGAGCTGGTCAAACAGCTGTGCCTAATTTGAGGGTGAAGCAGAGCTGGAAGGCTAATTAAGCCATTAGGCAGAGGGAGGAAGGAAGAAGGAGAGAAAGCAAGTAGCAGGGAGAGGAGAGAGATGGCTCTTCACTGCTTGTTGCAGGAGCTGAGTGCTCCGTAGAACTGTTGGAGCAAAGCTGTATATGGTATGAAGGTGGTGGGAACCCACCCTGTAAATAAACTACACAAGGTGTTTGACCAGCACAAGGGTCTCTGAGCATTTGTGGACTGGAGCAGAGTCAGCAGCCAGAGGACCCCATCACAATCATGACCATTTTGAAAAACTGATAGGTAAACATCTCAATTTTCAAAGGCCTCACATTTTTGTGCACAACAGATTATACTTTAATCCTTTCAAAATGTATCTTATTGCTCAGAACCACTTGTGACCGTATGCAAGTAAAAGCCCCAGTTCTGCAAATATACATAACTTTGCTCAGTGAGTAGTGCCATTGTGGAATTGATGCATGATTACTTTGCAGCTTCATGAAAATGACGATGTATGCAAAAGCATGTGCCAAAATGTTTGCCAAATTGGGGCTTGTAGTGGACTGTTTTACTCCTAGCACTGTGACAAAATACAGTGCAGTTTCAAATTAAAATGACTCAGCACCCAACTTACTGTGAGAAATACAAGCGCTATGTCTTCTATATTTTCCCCATTTGGTTCAACAGGAATGTAGCTGGGCCTGCTGGTATAGCTTTCCATTCTTGGTTAGACAAAGTGTACCTTTCATCCCGCAGCATAATTTTAGACAAAAATAAAAATGTATTGGTGTGGTCTGTTTGCATTTTATTTAAAGGGATCTAAAGCCACAATGTATTTGAGCTTAATTTCAGATATTCTGTGCTTTAAAATTGCTATATAACTTTCCAGTTTCAGACTTTGAACTATATATTTATTATTTTCCATTTGAAATGTTTGCACTCCTATCCAAATATGATCTGACTTTAAAAGTATGCCGCACTTCTTGAATGTAATTTTCCTCTCTCTTGCTCAGAAATGGGCATTGCACTCAAGAAATCCGGTCCTTCAATTCCTCTTGATTTGCTTCAAAATATTTAATGGAATAATCTTAATTTATCAAACATTGTATAATACACAGGTAGATATCTTCTCTTTCAAAGTGCCATTAACATCTTCATATGGTGCAAAGCCAGCCCGCAGAGAAGTACTCTTATTTTCTTCTTTACCATGGATACTGCTAACACCAATTCCCGAGTATAGTACTATAGTAACTGCTTCGCTACCTTTTGTACTATACAAGAGCACCTGCTTCTACTGTTATAGTTTGGGTTCACAAGCTATTTCCTTATTCATTATTGTTACACATATCTACATCCAAGAAATAAATAGAAAGTATAACCATCAAATTTAACTATGCTAACATGATGGAAGACTTCAGTTAAGGAGCAAAGACATCCCCATGGACTCCAAGAAAAAGCTCCTGTAGTCAGAGACTCAGATAGGAGCTATTCTTTTATGTGCTTCTATAACTTTTTAACCTTAGCTTAAGGACCAGCTTCTGCACCGTGCAGCATGCGATCAAAAAGTTAAGAGTGCTCAGCCCCTTGCACAATCAAACTTTGAAGTTACAAGTCTAGGGTGGAACTCCTTTATCCTCTCAAACATGTTTTTAGTATGGCTAACATATACAGAACATTTTAAAATAAAAATAGACATTGCACATACTACAAGAAGCTTAAGAGATGCTTTAAAAATAAATTTCTATTTCATTTGCTAATGTTGTTTTAACTGCAAAATCTTCACTATGGGCTGATTACAGAATGATCTGTATTGCCCAAGGAAATTCCTGAAGTTCCACTCTTTGAGTTACAAAGAAAATTCAAACATACTTAATGAATGTTAAGTTTCACACAAACTGGAAAAAAGGCTTTAATGCAAACATTTGTTGCAAAGTATTCAATGTTCTTTCCTCCTTTTGCCGGTACTGGGTTTCCTTGAAGGTCTCCCAGAAGCTCTAGTGCACCCAGATACCAGAGAGCTGGCAGGGGAAAGCGGAACAGAAATGGAACTAAATTTGCACTTAAGGCATCTATATGAAATGTGATAAAACAAGTAAAGAAAGGTTGGTTGATATCAGTAGAGGGGCCCATATTAAGATAGTTTGGGTGCCTTGATAGAAAGGGCAACTTTAACTGCATTTCTTGGTTTTCGAATATGTGGCCTTGGACAAAAGCAAACGAAGCCCCCTCTCAATGTGAGGTAGTCAGCAAAATGTGGCAGGAACACTAAATCTGATGGCTTTGTACGTTGGTATTCGGATTTGAGTTGAGGATAGCAAACTGAATTTGAGCTTCTCTCTTCCCTTCCTTCTGCTCCCCTTTCCATAGTATCTAGTTTTGTGGCTAGCAAAGCCAAGCCCAGAAGTAATTTTTTTCCTGCCCTCTCTTCATGCATGAAGTTTTTTGTTTTTTTTTCCCCCCAAACTTCACTGATTAACCCTTAATGTGTCATATCTTTTTTTTTTCTGCATAAGTTGGTTAGGAAACATAAGGTGTTGTAGGTGGTATTCATCACTGTAAGTCAGTACTGAACAATTGCCCCAGCCTTATGCTGGGGGACACTATGCTGCTGGAATGTGGAGTCTTGGAATGCCAGAAAACCATAATCCTGACCCCTTGTTTATTAAAGATTTTTTGCAAGTGTGACATGTCTCCTGAACATATTCCCATTAAATAACAATGTTGTACCTAATTAATTGCTCCTATAGCCTGTAACTCTGCAAATATGTATGTCTGTGCATGATCAGGACCTTAATTCTAATAAGCCCAAGCAGCAGTTCATGTGAATTCAATGGGGTTAATTCCAGACTCCTCACAGTGAAAAGGCTGCATTTGTTTGTCTGCATCCCAGGACTCCAACAACTTTATGCATTGATTCCCACCCCCCCTTTATCCATAGGGTAAAGTCCTGACCCCAATGAAGTCAATGGGAGTTTTGCCATTGACATCTGCGGTGTCAGGATTTTACCCCTCGGGGATCTTCACTACGGTGTAACCTGCTGCATGTAGTATGAAAGAGCAAAAGTTGGGTGGTGGTTTTCTTTACTAGTGGAGTTTGTTAAAAAATGTTTAGGCAAACCATTTGACCATAAATGGTATTTTGACGAAAACAAAATTTGTCAAAGAAAACGTTCATTTTGGTTGCACTTGGAAGGAGGGTTGTTGGAAAATATTCTGAAATTTTTTATTTCTCATCCATTTCAGATTATTGTCATACTGACACTACTTTGCAGGAAACTAAAACTCCCTCTACACCACTTCTGTTTATGAATATTTAAAATCTTTCCAAAAGTCCTCAAATTGGTGTTCTTGTCATTTTTTAAGTGTTTATATAAGGATTGAGTTTATCCCTACTGTATATGAAAGCCCACTTCATGTGAGGAAGTAGAGATGCAAAGCTTTAGCAGATGTCACCCATCAGAAAATATTTGCCTATTTTGTGTTTTAGAAAGTAAAAATAGAGGGCTGTTGCTTAAAGTAGTCCTTGTGGGCATAACTGTTGTGGGGTTTTTTGCACAAATCTCTAGAGAAAGACACGACTCCATGTGCACTGACTGAAGCATTACTAAAATCATTCCACCCGATCTATAACCAAACTGATTGCC